CTGGAGTGTGACTCATAAGACATAAATTGTGAATTTCACTCCCTCTTAATGTGAAACATTCAACATGGACAGCGAAACAGAGAAGTGTTGTAGGAAGAGGTTTCTGAACCTTTACTGAACGTTTGACTGTTCCCTGACATTTCTGGGATTCTGATTTGACGTAGGATGAGATTTCATTGATCCAAATTAACTGGAAGAATTATGATGAGAATTCTCCTGCTCTGATCCTGAGCTATTCCTCTGTTTCAGCTGTCATTCATTCTCACAGACAGCACTGAGAAGTAGGTATTTTCCCAGCTGTTTTTTAGATAGAAGAATTGAGTCTCAGGGACTGTCCCAGGTCATGGTAGTGGCAGAATTTGCTCTTGTGTGGCCAATGCTGAACCTTCAATGTTTTTCTGTACATGATCTTCCCATGAAGGCTGAAGATTGCTCTGAACAGGCATGTGGACCTTTGCTGCTCCAATTAAAATGAAACTCTTAGTTTGATTTGCTTTCATGAAACAGGACTATTTTTAACATTAGTAACATCTCTTTAAGGGAAAAAAATCCTTATGAATTATCCACTTGAGGGTTTTACCTCTATTATATTATTTCCAAATCTGCTCTGTGGTCATGTTGATAAACTCCTGGGAAGTTAGTCATGTTGACAAAATTGAAGATCACTCAGCCTCCTGTTTAGAGAACAGGGCTTTTAGAGGGAAATGTAATACAGAGACCTGGCCATAGTGGTGCCTGACAATTGCCACACTGCTGGGGCAAGAGAACAGAAAGGATGACGGTGTTGCCATTGTGCCTGAGATGCCTGAAATGGTTCCGACTTTCTTGACTGGGTCTGGCTGGTAAAGAATTTAACTTCTGAAGAGTTTGTAAAAGTCATCAAAGAATAGATCTGGAATACAAATAAAATAATGGAATTACTTCCAAGCACATTGGAATCCAAGGTCACTGTCACTGCTGTCTCTGCTGCTTTGGGGACCCTACCTTTGGTGAGTGATCAGGCAGCCAGGAGATACTGGGCCCCACAGACACTTACAGTCAATCATAGCTCCTGCTGCCATGACCAGAGTGGACTTTTCCTCATGCATGAACCCCTTGTGGTACTGGAGTTTGAACTCGGGCCTTCACACTAAGCTTCACCCTCGGTCCTTTATATTTTGAGACAAAGTCTGGCTAAATCTCTAAGTTGCATAGGCTGAGCTTGAACTTGCAGTTCTCTTGCCTTGGCTCTCATTAACAGAACCTTCATGGAACCAACTGGCAGAGGATTCTGGGAAATGTAGTTTCCAGGCTTCTAGTCTCTGCAATACAGAGAAGAATTCAAAAAGTGATAATGAACTGTGATATGGATGTGATGGTTTCCAGTGACTTCTCTGAGACTGTACATGGCAAAAGCTTAGAGTCACAGCATTTATAGATATGAAAGACTCTATGTAGGGGGACCAATAGGCTAGGGAGTGAGTGGCAGTCCTGTCTCATGCTAGGTTTTAGAAAGGATGTGCATCCACCCTCCTGGCTATGGTAGCAGATCACTGAGCACTGAAGCTATCCTGGCCACACGGGCTTCACTCAAGATTCACTGCCTCCTTCCCCTCCACCTGCCCTATCTCTCAGGCTCCATCAGGCTGTGAGGAAGAGATGGGGTCAGGGCCTTGGTACTAGGGTGTCTCAGATTGCACTCAACCAAGGAAACAGACATGAGACCAAGCTCTCCCTACAAAAAATGAATCAGGAAATTCACCTAGATAGCTGGAAAAGGATCAAGGAAGCAAGATCACACAGAGAGGCAGGTCACAATGGGATATGATTGCAGGAGCAGCCTCACCAATCCCATGGGGTCTTCTGGACCCATTGGCCCTGCACAGTGTCCTGCGTTGAAGCAAGGGGGCCAGAACTGTGGCCTTCACCTTGACCACCATGTACAGGCTACCTTGGGAGGGGTCGTCACTTTAGTTAGCACAGCTCTCTTAAGGAGTGGCGCAGTGCAACAGTGGCCAAGATGCCCAGCAGCTGAGGAAATGAGTGCCATGCACAAGTGGCATGTGGGGAACACACCACAATGTCCCCTGCCTAGGATAAGAGGAGCAGGAGGCCCAGCATTGCTCAGCCTTCATGCTCAACCAGCTTTGCTGTGCACTCTGCACCACCAAGAGTCTGAGCACACAATTGCATTCCCTCCCTTGTCTTGTTGCCTTTTAATCACCATCTCCACGTTCATCACTAACTGGAATTTTTTTTCTTTTATTGATGTGCATATCCTGTCTATTCCTTCTAATCAAATACAAAACGCTAGTAGAGCAGAAATCAATACCCCGGACAGTACTGGGGCAGAGTGCAGTGAGGCATACCTGTACCCCCGGTACTGGGGAAGGTGGGAGGCCAAAGCAGGAGGACCACCTGAGCATAAGTGTTCAAGATCAGCTTGGGCATCATAGTGAGGTCATATTTTCAAAAAACAAACAAAAAGTTGGTGTAAAACAAATAAATAAGTTGTAGGAGTTGGCCACTTTCTATTATGGAGGTTACCTCTTGAATGGAATTTCTTGAGAATCTTGTGGGCACGAGACCTTTCTCAGGCCAGTCTTACCAAGGTTGCCTTGGCTGGGTCCGTGGTCCTCTGTCCGGTTGGGCCTCGTCAGTCAAACCATCAGGTGCCTTCTGGGAAAGTCACGTAATATGCTTTCCTCATGAGAGGGCTTCCTTCATGTCCAGTGGCAGCTTTCAGAATAACAGTTACCCATCTTTCTTCGTCACCCCATTATCACAGCCAGAAATTCTCCCTTCCTCCTGTTGGTAAACAGAAGACATGATGGCTCATGAGGTTGTTCCTAGGCTTTTCACCCATTTTGGAGACACATTTCTGAGGCAAACCCTCTTGGATAGCACCCAAGAGTCTGCCCCTTTGCCAACTGAGGTCACATGGGAGTTGAAAATTCCTTCCCAAAGATCAGAAACCTCCCTGGTGCCACAGATCTTTTCAGTTCCACTCTCTGCTGTTAAAAGTGTTTAAATAAAATGATTGCTGCCATTTACTGGGTGCCTGCTGTGTAACCTGGAGCTGCAGAGACAAGTAATTCAGAAATGATGAGGAGCTCACCTGAGAGAAGCCCCACCCCAGGGTCTGGGACTCAGACAGTGGCCTCCTTTCACTGTGGAACCTGAGAAATCACAGAGTTGGAAGGAGGCAACGTTATTAAAAATAGTTATTGCTAATAAATAAAATATGACAGGTCTTACTTTAAAATGAGCTAATTATTTTTGTTTAAAAAGTGCAGGGAGAAAGCAAAGGGAAAGTCTTTCTCACTTCTGTATCTTATTCTGCTTCAGTGTCTCCACTAAAGCTTTCTTTAGCCAAGAAATACTGCAGATTTGCCCACATTTTAAACCTAGAAATGTTTGGAATTCTTCAAAATATGGCAGGGGATTGGTGAATTAGTTTGGTCTCCACTGTTGTCAACCAATCAAAAAAAATTCTTTTCTCCATTGGGCAATGTTTCTGTCTTTCCCATCCCAGGGAAGTGGTCTATTTGCATAGAAGTGTTCCTGTTGAAAGGTATTCTGTAGTTTTCAATCATTCCTGGAAATAAAATCACAGCTCCTGTCACACTTTAAGTGTTTTCACACTCCTGGGAATTGCTTACCATCACCTGAATATAGAATTCAGTGGGTGTTAGTTTCAAACTGATACTACTTGCAGCTGTCTTCTGGGACTTCAAAAAGGTGTCAAAGTGGCCTTAGAAGGTGTTTCTCACTCTGAGAACAGGTTGAATGATCCCCTTTATTTTGAAAGCCTCAGAGCTTCACACTTCTGTTTTCCACCTAAGGGAAGATGAAACTCCTGGGGCTTGCTCCCTAACTAAGAGCATCCAAGTATTTTCTCTGCTGTTGCCTGACGACGCAAGTGCATTACTGTAAGAAAAAAGCAGGGGACCTTTAAAATCATTTCTTTTCCTAATTTCACCATAATATGAACACAAGACGATTTATTTCTGGATCAGAATTGCGTGCTGTAGTAAAATGACATGAGCATTGAAGTGAAGTGGGGTTGGAGGTGTGCTAGGGGTGTATCGAGGGGCGTGTGCCTAACACACACAAGGCCCCGTGTTCAATCCCAGCCCTGAAAGGAAAACTTGGGTATGAATCCCAGTTTCTTATATAATGACCTTATAAAAATGCATAACCTTTCTCTGCCTCAGTTTCTTGATCCATAAGACATGGTTCATCTCTTACCAGCTAAGCCAGTCATTAAGATGCAATGATATAACACATGTCAGGTTCCCTGCATGGCTGCAGAATTTTAAGTGAACCATAAATTGACAAAAAGAAATGGTATATTCTTCTTTAAATTCCTGGTATATTTAGCCAAGCATGTGGAAGGCTGCAAGACAGATGAAAATGATGATGCCATCTTTAGCCCTCGAGGTCCCTAAGGAAGGCCACTCAGCTGCCTGTGACAGTAGTCAGGTCTTTCAGGCTCAAGTAGCGTAATTTTGTGCTGCACTACAGCCCAGTTATAATTGGGGCTAATGTCACTGTGCAGGAAAAGCTTAGGGAGACATTCTCTGGCTTAATAAAAATTACTAACCTGCAGCATCCTGGAGTCCTCAAGCCAAACAGGCCTGATCTTTATGAGTAGGTACAGGGCCTGCCTCAGGACCTCAGTCTACCTCCATCTTCCCCGGGAGACCTTGTCCCCAGGATGACATGGGACACGTGGGTGTTTAATAAATAGTCCCAGTGATAATGGAGATGTTTATCTCAGCTTTAATTCGCATGTGGTAGTTCCATTATTGATTTTGTGCTCCTCACAAATTAACCAGATAAAATCACAACTAATTTAAAAATAATTAGTTTGATTTTGCGTCTCTAGTCCAATGGGAGTCTATTTTTTCCCAATATTAACAATCGCATCCTACAGCTAGCGCGTTTCAGTGAGCTCGGCAGTGTTTGAGCTAATGTGGCATCTCTCTTTTGTTCTTGTTTGTTTGTTTTATTTTTAGGGTCAAGTTGTGTTCCGGAACGGGGAGAGAATGGGGACCATTAAATTTACTCAATTTCAAGGTAGGCTTTTTGATGTTTATTCTTCCTAGTTGACAACATTTCTATTCAGGGATGTTATGTTTTTGCCATAAAGTACATCAAACAAAATGGGATAGGATATGAGAACCCAGATAAAAGTGGGAATAGTTCATAGGAAATACTTCTGTATGAAACATTAGTTTCAACGTGGATACTGTTTCTCAGCTGTGTTACTGGGCAGCCTCCACCTCCTCCCCACCTGACTCAGACACTTAGGAAAGGTAAGGAACAGGGCAGCAGTTAAGTCTGCTGCAAGAGGCCGAGAAGCCCTGCGCCGTTTTTAGTTCTGATTATGGAAATGTCCAGCAGACTCTATGAGCGTAATGAACCCCACGTCCCCGTGGCTCAATGGAACCATTATCTACATCTTACCAATCTTGTTTTATCTCTCCTCACTCCCAGCCCCCTTTGTGTTTCTGCTGTCGTATTTTAAAGCAGCCCTTAGACATTATCTCATTTCAATCTATAAATACTTCAGTATGCATTTCTACAAGACAAGGACTTTTAAAAACACAACCAGCATACTATTATCATACCTACAACATTAACAATTCTGAACGTCTTTTTATTCCTGGTCGTTGTTGATCCTCTGATCAGTTCAAAGGTGCCTTCAAGGCCGATGGTTTCGTGGCGAATCCACACAAGGTCCAACTACGGTGTCATCTTGCTGTGTCTCTTTAGTCTCTTTTCTGTTATAACCCCCACACTTTTTCTAGACTGTTTATCTTCTAAAGAAGCCGGTTTGTCTGTTGAACTTTCCTGCTGCTGTTACAGAAGCCTCAGCAATCACCCAGACCAAGATTTTTGTGTGATGAGAACACCAAGGCCCAGAGAGCAGAAGTGACTTGTCAGAGCCCCCAGAGCATCTGTGAGGGACAGGTGGGATGTTCCTAAAGGCACCTGCCTCAGCTTAGCCCAGACCCCTGGAGGGACCACTCAGCAGTGCTATATTTTCAGCATCTTGATTTTCTGGAATCCAGAAATAAGAACAGGGCCTGCTGTGTTCGCTCACTTTAAGTAAATCTGAGAATTATCCCAGAGAAAGCCAGAAATTAAAGCAAGTTCTTCAGATTCATTCAGACAAATCCCGCCAGGCTTCTGATCAATGGAGAGCGGTGTTCCTCGGCAATATCACTTTGTAATATAATCCTGTAGATTTACCTATTCGTCTTCCTGTGGCAGGTAATTGAAACACATGTCAGCTCAGTGGCATGCACAAAAGATGTCATTGTAGGCAAATGTAATTATTTTCCCATTTGTTGTCTTATTTCTTTATTGGTTGAACAAAGTAGGCACCTTGGCACAGACACAGGCTTTTTTTTTTTTTTTTTTGAGTGATTATAACTACATTTTCTTGTCACATTTCCAGTTCTCAAATTATATCATTCTGGGAGAGGATATTGTAAAACATGAGCTGTTTGGTTACAGCTACCAGGGCATGCCAATTGTATTGCTTTCTCCTTTTTCATACCTGAGGTGTAGGTACCCATGGTGACTGTGGTTCTAGGCAGGTCTGCAGATTTATAAGAAAGGCCTAGCCCACCTCGACTCAAGTCGCATAATCACTGGTGAACATCAGACAGATGACTTCGCCTCTCTGAACCTTCTCTGTCTTCATCTGTACAATTAGGCTATGATCCTACCTACCTTCCTGGAATGCGGGAAGAGCTATGTGAGAGAACATGTATTCATGGGTGCATTTATTTTTTGCTCAACAATAAGTAGCAATTATGATAAGTATCTTCTCAGAATCTGGCCCTTTTCTGGGACAAATCTGGATTTCCCTGGTTACTGATACCTCGGAACCTTTTCCTTGGCCTTCTCTGCTGTTAGTGGCTGCTTCCTATGCTTAATGCTGGGTAGCGTGTCACGCAGGGCCGGGCTTAGAGAGGACCTCACCCCACCTCTTCATGGCATAAATAAGAAAACTAAGGCTCAGAGGTGGGAGGTGTTCCCCAGGGACACAGGACTGGCAAGTGGCAGGGCTAGGCCTGGCCCTCACCTTGTGACACCTTACTCACATGCATACCCATATCTTCCTGTGCTCCCCTCACCTCCTCTATGTTTGTGTCTAGTTTTATTGATGGTTGCAGTGGGATCTTCAGATATTCCTGTTACCTGTTTATAAAACAGTCCTGTTGACCTGGCAAACAGGTCACATGTTATATGGGGACTGAAATGAGCCACAAGACTGCAGGGGGTGTGTGCACATCAGTGCAATAATTAGCTTTTCAAATTCAAAAAACTTCAGAGGGGTCTTGCTTCCCAGGAAGGGAGATCACTGAGTTACTGAATGGACCAGCCAAGCTGGCAGAGTCCCTGATTATTATCTCATTTCCGAGGGGAAACTGAGGCTCAGGCCTGGAAAGAGACTTGCTCTGCTCAGGGCAGGCCGAGACATCCAGTAAGACTATGAATTCATCTCTTCCCTTCTCTAGACCACTGCTTCTCAGTTCCCTAAGAAAGGGACTGGACCAGATTCCGTCTTCTGGAACCCTCCAGGAATTGTCTCCTCCCTAGTGTTATCAGCTCTTAAATTGCCTCATGCTGATGACCTCACAAAAAGCCTCCTCATGGTCTCACCGTGTTTTTGCCTGGCCCTTCATGACTGCTGTGTCCTGTCTGTTGGTCCTTCCCTTGCTGCTCTCATTCAGAAGGGACGTGGAAATGCAGGTGGTAGCAGCACCCATTACATTAATTCAGCTTCAGAGCCACCCTTCGAGGGAAGTCCCCTGTCTAGCTCTGCTCCCTGGTGGTCTCCAGCACACGCTGGTGGTATCTTGGAAGTTGTTAAAGACCCCATGAGGTACTTTCTTCAACTTCTCATTTGCAGAGTCCCTGGTGCCTTTGAAACCTTTTATCTATAGTCAAGGAAGTGTTTGATAGGAGGCTCTGCTCACTTCTGTGGAAAATTAAAACACAAAGGAATTGGACATGGAAGGCAGCTCTGGGTAGAAGACCAACAAGAGGGCCAGGAAGCCTTGTTCTTGTCTACTCTTCCATGCTAGCAATGTAGGACCGATAGGTACTCACAGTGCTTGGCCGATAGGAAGACCTCAGTAAAAGATTAGTGGATTAATTTGGGTGCAGAAGAACTGAAGTCTTTGCTTTGATCTTGAATGACTGAATTTACCTCCAAAATCTCAATTTTCCCACTGCAAAATGGGACTGCACTAATGTGAGCTTTGCCTGCTTCCAGGGCTCTCATCAGCAACCAGTGAGGTGAGGGTTCTGTGCACTCTGGAGCTTTGGGAATCTATGACCACAGCTATGACCATTGCCAGCAGGCAGCTTGCTCCTGGCTGGCTCCTCATATGACTTTGCTAAAAGAGTTAGTGAAAGAATGATCCTTGAGCTTGGCAATTCCCTCATGTCCCAAGACATATAAGAATATTTTCATTTTGGGTTTTCAGTAACTTGATTCAAGGTAGACCATCTGGCAACATTAACAACTGAAATGTGATCACATTGGTGGGTACTATTTTTCCAGGCTAGAGAAACCACGTTTTTGTACTTCTGTTTTCATAGAAATTTAGGAATGGCCTATTTTCTTTCTTTCTTTTTTCTTTCCTTTTATTTTGCACTGGAGATCAAACTTATGACCTCATGCTTTCCAAAATGGCCTATTTCTAAAAAAGAAAGAAAAAGAGAAGGAAAGAATCAGGGCCAACTCCTTAGCTGAGATATTGAGAATCCAGAGAAGGTTTGGCCCCTGAAGCATAGTCTCCCTCGTCCCCAGCTTCCCTCCCTTGCCTGGTGTTCAAGAGCTCCCAAAGCCTGACTTCCCTTCAGGACCATCCCTGAGGGCAGGTGCAGTGGATGTCATCACAGGTCCGCTCGTATCCCCAGAGTAGCCATCATTCCAGAACAAATTGAACAGCATCTCATTAAAAGCATCTGTACCTCTCCACCTCCCCATGAAACAAGCAGGCCCACTTGCTGAGAATCAAAGCTTCCAGGGTTGCCCTGAACTGGTGACAAAGGAAAGATGGGGAAACTATCCCAGTATCCATTCCCTACAAGTAAGACATCGCTAAAGACTTTTCTCTTCGTCCAGAGATTACCCTGTGGCACCAAGCCTCTGCTGCCCACACACAAACCCGCCTGTTTATACACCCTGAACGGGACCCTTCTCTGTCCCTGTTTCACTTCATCACACCCCTAGAAGTCAGGATGACCTTGGGACACCTCCAAACAATGGTACCCATTCTTAACTCTTATGCTAGGCAGGAGCTATTCCAAGAGACCCACGCACATGCGAGGTAAGGCAGCTGTGGTGTTAGCATCCTGCGTGACACAGTCTCAGACCCAAGGCCATTTTGGTCCCAGGCTCAGGGCTGCTGCTTCAGGCCACCGCTGCTGTCCACAGAGCCATGAGAAGACGAGGATGGATGCTAGCACACTGGCTCCTGCCCCCACTCTTAGAGAAGAAAGAATCCATGCTACTGCTGAAGCCGAAACTCAGCTCAGAGCCGGCAGCAGGGAAGGAAGTCCAGTGAAGCTGCTGTCAGGGCCTGCTTTATGCTGTTTTCTCAGGAACTGGGCATTGCTGCCCCCCCACCTGCCTCCATCAGGTCTGTTTATGAGAATGTGGAGAGTGATCACGGCTGCCGTGAAGGTGAAACATAAAGCACTCAGGTTCTTTTCTGTGTTTTTTCATATTATTAAAAATAAAAGGCAGAATGAAACCAAAAATGAATAGAAGAAAACAATAAAGATCAGAAAACACAATCCCTGGCCAGGGATTTAGCTCAGTGGCTCAAGTGCTTGCCTGGTAAGCACAAGGTTGTGAGTTTGATCCCTGGTACAAAAAAAAAGAAGGAAAGAAAGAAAGAAAGAAAGAAAGAAAGAAAGAAAGAAAGAAAGAAAGAAAGAAAAAGAAAACACAATTCCTTATCAAACTGTCAACATCACTATTCATATAGAAGTACCCAGATTTTGGAGTTTTGTGTGTTGGCAGCTGATTTGAAGAGATGGGGCCT